AATAAACTAAAGGAGGTCAGGTATGATATAAAGGCATCTTAAAACTCATTAGATGGATTAAGAAAAGAAGGATGCTCTGTAAAACTGAGCAGAATTTTCTCATCTGTTTTGGTTTCATCACTTTTTTGGCACTCTTGCTTACTAGAGCACTTGTACCACTCATACATTAAGTGAGATTGAAATTCCTGAACAGTAAGGCAGTGGAACTTGTGCAAGATAAAATATTCATTGCAGCTTGTGGATTGCCCTGTAGTACCTATGTGCCATCTGTGTACTATATCAATCCCAAAGTTTTTAGTGTGTTAGAGCTGGAAAAAGTGTGGTGGGGTTTTTTTATGGTGTTGATATTAATTAGGAAATTTTCTTGGCTCCAAAGGTATTTAAATAATCAGTAGAGACAGCATCAGGAACCTCATTTAGTGCATCCTATGGTTATAGATTCACTGAATCCACCCTAAAATAGAAGACTAATGTAAGTTATTGTCTGTATTGCCTATGATGGAGTTTTTAACTTAAATGAAGGCTTCCCCCTTGTGGTAACGGTGCAATTTACCCCTTGCCTAAAATCTTTTCCTGTTCTCAGTCTCCTTTGTGTCTCTCCATACTGCCCTTGTGTGCTGTGAGCCAGAACTACGACATGGGAGAATGGCAGCCAATGTTTTATTCCCAACAATTCTGTGGCACAGGGGAATGCCAAGGATGCCCTGAAACATTCCCATGTGTATAAAGGGACTTTGATGCAAAAATAATGCATGCTGTATACTAGACTTCCAGGCTTCCACTTCCAAAGTGGCTTGTTTGAGTGTCTGCATTCCTTTACGTCTAGGATTGAAGTTAGATTTGGGTGAAAAAGGGTATATAAACCTACTGATATGATATTTTGAGAGAAGTGTGGTTACTTCCCATAATCCTGTTCGTTCAGTTATTTACTGCTACCTTATGGTCCCTGACACCAGCAATGGTGTGTGCCAGCCCATGCCCTGCGGCTGGAACTGTGTGTGGTAACTTCAAGAACTGCAGCAAAATTTAACTAAAGTCTGCTTTGTGATCTCAAATGAAGAAGGGAAAGGATGTTTTCAAAGGTTTGGGGTTTTCTTTTTTCCTTTGTCTAGGAATATCCTTGTATGAAAAGACTTCTGACAACAGCACTCCATCTAGCAGAGTAAGGTTATTGCAAGTGCCAGAGAAGATGGCTGAAATACACAAATCCATGCTAGGAAAAAAACTCCTTCAGATAATTGTTAGACCTGTGTCTCTTGCCTTGAAATGCACTGGATCCGAGGTTACTTTCTAAAGAGCTGCTGTAACCCAACAAGCTTCTTAGGTTAGTGCCCTGGGGTGAAATGTTCTGGACTGTCTTCTGCCAAGACTGAAAGCACATGTATGTGTAAGGCATCTTAGCCTTACAGTAGATGAACTTCAATACTGGCTGATTAAAAAACGCCCCTTTTTGTAAATTTTTTTTTTTTTCTTTTATCAGACTAAGTGCCTTCTCTGTATAGATGACAACAGTAAGCTTTTTCTGGCAAACGTTTTCCATGCTTGCTTTTATTTTCTTTAGACAACTGATATGGTTTATATATTCCATATGAGCAAGTATTGTGCGTCACTTGCATCTGCAAAAAATTGTGGCTTATGTATGTATTTTTTGCTTTTTAATTTTGCTTTGCACTGTGTACCATACCAACCGGGGAGCATCCATGCTGGGCAATCCCAATGGATTCTTCACCTGCTGAACCCCTACTGATTCCTCGGTTTTCTCCTCTGTAAGAAGAGGCTCATCCAAGCCTTTGAAGCTACTGTTAAGAGCTGCCAATACTGTTGGTAGAGGTCTTCTGATTTCTTGTCTGGCATAAATAGACTGTTGCTTCCCTGGGATCATTTTCTGTCTCCATTTAACTCTTCCCTACTCTCTTGATGCAGTTCTTAATTTCAGCTACTGCATGCCAGCGTAGCTAGTGGCATGAGACTGAGCATGTTTGTCTTGGGGCCTGTTTCTGGAATGACTCATTTCAGAATTACTAAAATATGACTCTAAAGTTTGTCAGTAAGAAAGTTGGTTACAGTAAATGAAGGGGATGAGCAGTCAGTCTACAGTGTCCTGCCCCCTCTCTGTTATTCACATCCCCTTGAGGACTGTCAGGGCAACTCTTGTTGCTTTGCTCCTGCTCTTACCACAGGAGACGTTTCCCACCAAGACTCAAATGTATCCCCAGCACCACTTACATTCCTGCACAGATTATAGCTTCTTTAATAAAATGAAGGCAGGATTTTAGATTTATTCTCAGCCTGCTGTACATTATACTATTGAAATGTTACAAGTGTTTTTTCATAAGGATCAAAATCCAGCAAGGCCATACCACCCCCTCCTGGATAACAGGACACATCTAGATGGTGAGTTACCTCAGCAAAAAGTGGACAATCTTTGAGCACTGATGACCCACTGAAGTCTCTCCTGTAATGAGGCTCTTCCTGACAGATCAGAGAAACTTGCTGGTAACTGCAGTCACTGTGAATCTTTTTGTATTGTTTTCTTTCTCTTGGATGTCACCATGTTAAAAGTACTTATTTTTGAGTGAATTATTGAATTTTAATAGAATAGATGCTGGCAGCTGGAAGTGTAGAGTGGTGTTATTGCTGATGGGGTGATTACTGAATCCCCTACCTTTCAATGAAGCTAGTATTTCAGGGCACTTAAAACAGGAACCTTGTCTCAGTTAGGCTTCCACACTCTTGTGATTTGCTTAATCATTTGAGCACTGCTAAATAGGCACTTGTGGATGGTCCCTGTTAGTAAAGCACATTTCATTAGCAAGACTTCAGGACCTCCCTTGTGTTGGAATGTCTGTTCAAAAATGTGTCTGAAGTTTAGTGGCACACCTTGAGGAAACGTATGGAAATCCTGCAGCAGAAAACAAACTGAATACTGAACATAAGAGGAGAGGGAACGGATGCTTTTATTTTTGTAGAAGTATAATGATTTTACTTTTAGCTTGAACAGATTCAGAAATTCCCTTTGGAGAACAAAGGAAAAAAAAAAAAAGCATCCATCCTTCCATCCTTTAATTTCTTCTTTGGGGCCTTGGCTTGGCCGCCTTAAATTATGGGTGGGAATTCTGTGTGTGTGTAAACAAAAACCAAATGAACAAAAGCCCTGTTTTTAACTTGTCACTTAGCCTTTGCTGAATTTAATAGCATACCAATTACATTGTTATGGATTACACAGAATTCTTTAGGAAGACTTTGTGGGCTGACAACAATTGATCCGGATTTTTTGTTTTGTTGTGGTTTTTGTTGTTGGTTTTGGTTTTTGTTTGGTTGGTATTTTTTTTTTTTTTCTTTTTTTTCTTGGGTTCTACATTAAACCAATAGGAGTCAGTGGAGATCATAACAATAAAAGCAAGCAAATCTGTAGTGTAGCAAAAGTACTTCTTCATGAAAGTGACACTGCATCTCTTCTCTATTAATATCTTACCTCCTTTTGAGACTACTCTGCCCTCTGTAGGACAGCTGTACTTCTGTGACAGGTAGCTGCCTCAGGTGCAGGAACTGAAAATATTATAAAACAGGGCTGCTGAAATCTGTAACATTGGCACTACTGCGCCGGGGATGCCCAGAGCTGGGCTTGGATGAAGCAGCAAAAGCAGAGAACAGGAGCTGCTTTGTTATGGGTAATCCTAAACTCTTGGCTTCTCAGGAATGCTTGTTAGGGGATACACTGACTAACTAGATTTCTAAAAACATAAATGTTTTTGAGGGGAGAAATAGGGATCTCTTATGGGAAAATAACAGCTTATACTTATTTAGATTTCCAAATAATTCTCCCTACTCCCATTTCCACATGGTCAGGTAAGTCTTAAAACATCACAGCTTCTCTCTTGCCCAGTCCCATGCCCCTCAATTCAAAGGCACTAACTCTGTTTCCAGCTCTGGAACACATTATACATTTCAAGGCTTTTGCTGTGGTTCAAATAGCTCTGTATGGAACACAAAGCTATGTTGCCACACTAATACAGCAGTCACTGAATATTTATGACTTCATAGCAATACATCTGCAGTATTTGTGGGAGTGTTTTTAACAGAAATGTGGGTTTTCCCCCAGAGAACAGATAATTTCCTGAAAATGTTTAATCAACCCATTTAAAATAGAAAATAGATTTTTAATTAGCCTAAATCTAGAGGCTTTCAAGATTGTCATTATTTTAAAATCCCAACATCGTCTTTTTTTTTGGCTTACTTTTATTTCTAATGGTTCACTTGGCACAATAATCTATTGAAACTGGAAAAATATTATAAGCCTTGAGGGCTTGAACATCAAATCCACTCCCTTCTTCCAAATTTGGGTGTCACATTAACATGTAGTTAAGGAGAAAAATTCATTTAGAGTTAGGAGATTTTTTTTTTTTTTTTGTGCATGAAATAGGGCAATTCATCTTTCATACTCATATGCTCACTTAAATTTTGTAGAATAACACTATGGGAATGCAGATAATTAATACTTAATAACCACATTTATTCCTTTGCTTTTGCTGTGTTAATGCAGTAGTGAGTGTTTTGGTTTTGGTCTGGATATTATTTACCTTAGGCAACTTACTAAACAAAACATAAATTCCTAGTAAACCAAATTCTTGTAATCACTTTATTGCATTAGTAGATAATTTTTTAAGCCCAACTATGTAAATCAGTACTAATTATCTTTACTGTGAGCACAATTATTTAAGCTAGTGATGGAATACAATTACTATTTCCAGGAAAGACAACTTTTTATACAAAGTTAATATAAAAATTTTTTAACAAAAAGGAAAAACAAAATTGTATTTATTATCACGTTATAACCTTCATAACTTTTCACAATATTCCTTTTCTGTGCATAAAATCTACTTTTAAAAAAATATCAAGCATGATAGAAAAATTGGAATGATTTAAAAATTATTAACCAGGGCATGCAATACCTATTAATATAAATTTTTCAGCTGTCATCTTGGGGAGGGGGGGAAGAAAAATGCAAAGAAAAGAGGTGAAAATCAGTGCTGTCTTTACAAGAAATCTTACTAATTTTGCTTTAGCGATACTGGTCTTCTTCTAGAGTTGGCCCAGGCGAGAGATTCCAAGGCGCTTGAAGTGCAGCGATGATCACACCGCCGTGTCACAGCAGGAGGGGCTGGAGACTGAGGCTGTCAGGGCACAGCTGGAAGATGTGTGGGATACCAAGCAGATGAAACTGCTGTGCAGCTGGCTGAAGAGTTGCACTATAAGAAATAATGGAAAATGCCTGTTATTCAATGGACTGGGCCATGTTTGTTTAGAATAAGATCAAAGACTGTGTTTGTTGAAATGAGTATGAGAGAATCAAAACCGGTCTATTCTTTCAGATCCACCAGCTGGATATCAATTCCATTATCCTCCTCGCACCTTGCATAAGGAATGTGATGATCTGTGGGTAGGTATGAGCTAAGACAGCTAAGAACTTTGCACCAGAGTTGGAGACTCAGCTGTTTGGAGGGTCAAAATATTAGCAATAAAGGCAGGTCTTTAGTGTTTATCTGCAATTTTTTTTAACAATCAAACACTCAAAAATCTCCCTGCAATTAGTCATTAAAAAAATGGTCTTGCTGAACAAGTATGAAGATAGAAAACAGCAAGAAAGCTGTCGAGAGGCCTTAATTTGCAGAAGCAGAGAACCCTGGAGTTTGATGTGGATAATTCACAAACAGAACTGACTGAATGAGCTGGATAAATTGTATTTGCAAGTTCTCCCACATCTAATTCACCTTCTCTCTCCCACATAATGATTTTTTAAAGCTGACAAAAATCACCTATTCTGATCCCAAGGGTATCTCCCCTTGCATGATTCATCTCACTTCAGCAATCTGAAATTTATAAGCATCTCTGTTATTACCCAGGTGTTTGGGGGTTTTTTTTTTTTTTTTGGTAATAGCTTTCCCCAGCTTTGGAGGCTTTTAAAATGCGAAGATTTTTTACTCATTAAGTGCAGGAGACTTCATCTCCACTCAAGGAAACAGCTCTGTTAGGAATGTCCATGTAGGAGTCAAACTGCCTCTTGAAGGAGTAATCATTTTTCATTCTCATGTCATGTCATAAGACTAATTTTTTGGTTCTAATGAAAACTTTGGAAGAGGGAGGCCTGAACAAGTGATTTAGAGAATAAGTAGCAGTGGAGGAGATACCTAGTGTTTTATAGTGTGGACACTGTACTCCAGTGAGCAGGTGGGCAGCTGGCTCCAGAAATGAGACATGGAAACACAGTTCTCACAAGAAGCAACTGTCCCCTCCTTTACATGAGAGTACAGTGGCAGAAGAGACCTCATTGGAGATAATCCACTTTCAGTGCCAAAAACCTCTCCACTACAACAGTGCAACACTGATTCAGTTTGCCTCTCCAACTCTATCTAACAAAGCCTTTAAAATGACATTTTTCTCAAGGAATAAGTTGCATCATTTTGCTACTGTGAACAAATAGTACTTAATCCCTTTTGAAACTCTAATAATGCAAAATCATAAATACTCCTCATATCTAAAATGCTAAGAGTTCAGTTTCAAAAAATTTCAGATCCTAAGCTCATCTGAAGGAAAGCAGACTGAAGAAGAAAATCCAACTCCGACTTTTGAACCTGTTCAGCACAGACTGTTCTTGCAGAGATGAACAAACTGAAAAATTTCAGTGCCTGAGAAAATCAAGGAATTGGGAATTTGGTAAAGATCTCAAGGAAAGGATTTTCACATGCATTAACAGAATGCTAACATCCTTGCTCTTAGCCCTGAATTTTTAATGGAAGTCATCCTTCCATGCATAAGAAAGGTTGCATGACTATTTTTAGAGGAGTCAGAAAAACAAAAATTTCATCTGGACACATCCTTGCATCCATAGCTTTTAACTTTACTCAATATGTTTGAATCTGTGCATGAAATCAGTATGTAGGACTAGACTCTAATACAGCTCTTAGTTGCACAAATGGCATTAGTTCCAATAACTAACAGAAACTCTCTTCAACTGCACCCACAAGTTAGCTTAGTGCCTCGATTTCTTGCTAATCTGCCCTGCAGTAAGCAAGAATAGGTTGATATCCGATAAAAAGTTCTAGGACAAACCACACTGGGATGATTATGGTTTAACTTGTGAAATCAGAACTTCTGAGCTGCACTTCCATTCTCTTATGACATAAATGCACTCTGATGGAAAGCACTTCCACAAGCATTAGTTTCCATGACGAATAATGTATGTTTGTGAGTGTGTGTGGCACACATTGATACGCATGCTCTTACCTCCATTAATTAGGCATATGTTCCTTCTTGCCTGTTGGGCTCCTAGTTGAAGACTAAAAAGGAATAGATGCAATCAATAGTCATTTATATCAGTAAGTTAGGTTGGTGCACAGTCTTTAAAAAAGTTGAAAAATTCAGAAAATACATACCTAGGATGAGTCATTTCTTATGTGTTTTGCTTCAAATGTGAAGACAACACGAGTCCCTGGGAGCAGGGGAGCAAGAGACATCCACAAAAATAAGCAGGTGTTGTGTGGGAGAATGACATGAGGTGGGTTTTGTACGAATCTTACTCCCAGCAGCATGTCTGGCCTTTATGGCTGACAATGAAGAGAGGCTGAGTGGAACACAAATATTCACTGCCTTGGTGAACCCCTCAGTCAACAGTGTGACTGTGAGCTTGCCCCAAGAATACCTGACTCAGTGACAAATAGGCAGGAAACTGATTTTTGTTATTTTCTCGATATTAAGTTTGAGCATCATGCAAAGCTACAAAATACTTAAGAAATTGGAAGTAAGCCAGGCTAAAGGTGTAGCTTCACAAGTCCAATGGACACTATGGTAAACTACCAACGAGTAGGTATTTTAAAGATTAGAGGTCCTAACTGAAATGTATACTGTTGAAGTCATGAAGAAAAACGTTGCTTTTCTATGACTTCCTCACTCTCCACACATACAAAAGCTTGTACGTGCTTCAGGATCCCAAGTTATTTCAACTTTGTTAAGTGGGCTGACTAAAGAAGTTTGAGCGCCCATGGATCCAAATGTCGAAATTAAGGTCTTTGTTCATCTTCTATTGACCTAGCAGAGACAACAGAAACTGGTTATCGTGCCCAAAATTAAGTGCTGTTTTTTGGGGTTTTCAAAGAACTCTACTTAAGACACAACCTGCAAGCCAGAGTGGTATCAACTGATGAATAAGCAATCTATTAGCAACTTGGACTGAAAACAAGTTGCTGATGAGGGTTGAGGAATGAAGCCAGACATTTAGGATAGTGAATGTAATCAATAACCTGTCAGTTTGTAAAAGGTGTACTGTGCTCTTCTGAGTTTTTTGGATGAAGCTGGGAAAGAGATTCAGTCTTTGGCAGCTGGTTGGGTTATCTGCAAATTTGGAAATCAAAATCTGGAAGAAGAAATTCTGTGGAGGATGCCTTTACTGCAGTGGATGACCTGGCTACTTACAGTGCCTTCCAGGGGTGGGTCAGTATTAAACAGTCTAAAGCAACAGCTAGTAAAGCTGCCCTTGGATATGAAGGCCACTTCAGTGTAAGTACCTATTGATTCTAACAGCTAAGAAATAAATGGTTAAAGTCGAGATCCCTGTGGAAAAAGCTTTGACCTTTCCACAGCAGTACACTTACCTTGCATTTAGTCTTTTCTAAGACCTACCTTCATTTAAAACTATTATATAAGTTGCTGGCATTTAAATAACAACAACAAAAATAATAAATCAAGCTTAACATTTGTTTAATGCAGTACTTGTCTTTTGAAATCCATCCGAGTTACAGTTTGCTTAACTGCTAGATAATGAGCAGCCATCAAAGACAGTGACACCTACTAGTCAGTTCTTGCTGCTCTGTCAAGAGTGGAGAACAAACTATCAGTCATTCCCAGTTTTGATGAGGAATGTTGCACTTTACTATGCATCCCTAAAGACCTTTGAACCCTTGTTCAAGGTTCTATAGAGATTAGCTATGAGGGGATAGCTCACTACAAGCAATGCAAATCATTTTACGTAGTTTCTGCAATCTTGGGCATATTTTTAGATTGCTAGATGACTAAATCTGTGGGATGTGGCACATAAGGTGCCACAATGCAACTGCAGTAGAAGGTAGGTTTTGAAATCTCATTTTCATAGGTAATTCAAATGGCCAGTGTTGTAGATAGAAATATTTTAAAAACAGTATGATGCCTATGTGCTAATAAATATAGACCTGGAACGCACGTGGAAGCTGCATCATTTTTTAAGACTTCAGAGGAAACTCGTCTAGTAATCCTTGAATAAATGGTGTCTCACCTGCTGCCATTCATTTTCTTAGTGGACATGCACAAACCCAAGACTCTCAAACCTTCAATTCTGTTGTTCTCTCCACTCTTATGTCTCTCCTACTCTGTAAAATTTTAGGGGTGGCAAGGCACCTTTCCAATTAGTGTGTGAGCTTGCTTTATAGATAGTTTCCCATGGGCAACAGGCTACTTTGGTGGTGTACCCTAAAAAATCTGGTATACTTAAATTTCAAAATGGGCCTTTTGTCCACAAATCATCTACGTATTTCCCAGAAATTTTATTAGTTCTTTGTTTTTGTTGGTTTTGCTCTGTTGGCTAACATCCTACTTACTTTCTTGGAAAAAAAAGAGAAGATATTATCGATGTCTATGGGTCAGACCATATGTATGTTATACAGCATTGAGTTAAACCACTGTCTGTGCCTGTACCTTCTGCAAATAAACATTCTAGGCTTTATTGAGTTATTCTTAAAATAGGCTTTTGTAGATATTTCACTCCAAGAGTGGCAGAACTTTTTGCTTTGCAGTTGATTTTTTTTTTTTTTTAGGGGGGGGTATTATTCAGTCATATATTAAACTGTTGCAAACTGAGACATGAACTTTGTGATAGCATCAAATGTTATAATGGAAGACTGAACCAAGTGCCACTCTCATTAATAACTTTCATTACAGGGAAGCAAGATCAAACTTATCAAGAAACTAAAAATTATATTCCACACTAATTTATAAGAGATATTTTCTTTTCTCATTAAAATAAAAGCAAATTCCTTTCCTACCAGGCTTCTGATGTGATCTCTTTAAATCCTCAATCAAGACTTCAAAAACTGTCTATGAAAAAGACTATGCAAATACTTATTTCAAACAGGGAATCAGGAGAGGGAGGCCCACGTTTTTAAAGGTACAGAATGGAGAGTCTGTATACAGATGTAAAAACTAGAATTCTTTAAACAAATCTAAGGACTGCTAACATTCATATATACTGCTTTATTAAATGGCATATGGAAAAAAAAAAGTCTCTCAAATTAATGCTCTCTGGTCTGCTTTCATTAGGAACTTTGAAGGAAAACAGTAAGTCATTGCCATTTTTGTTCCAGGCAATGTATTTTCGTCTGGAGTTAGGTATTGGTTTACTCAGATTCTTCTTAATTCTTGCCCTCACTGTGCCTCCAGCTGTAGAGAAAGTCCTTATTTTCAAGCATTAAAATATTTGATAGTAAAGTGCAGTTGGACAAGACAGGGGCCTCCATAATGATTCTTCCCACTACATTTCTGCAGTGCTAAGCTTCTGATTTATATGCACCACAGCACAGCGTAACAGAGGGCAAAGAGGTTAAGATCAGAAGGGAACATAGTGATCATTATCTGAGTTACTGGATAATTTCACAGAATTTACAATTCCGGTGTTGATACTACATTTCTGCTGATACAATTCAATAAATGAACTCTGGAGAGGGGGGACAGCTACACAGGCAGGATTGATCTGGCCTTAGAAAAACCCAGACAAATACTTTCCAAGAATCACCTTTATGTTGGCACGAGCTTTGCCTTGCCTATAGAATACAGGCTGGAGGTACAAATGCAGTGATCCCAAGCCCTTAGGCCCTGAGTGCCCTGTGAAGGCTTTTGATGCTGCACCCCTACCAGCCACAGAGGATATTAATACCGAAATATTCGGACTGCAAAGATGCCACTGGGGCAGCAAGAATTTCCCTTAATTAATTACAGTATCTCACAAGTCCACATAAATACAACGACGTGTAAGAGAATAATGAAAGCAGTACTGTGGATTATTTTCCTCCTTTGCAGTAAGGAAATAACACATTTAGGTGATAATTTTAAATAGCAATATACAAATGGTACTGAGTCCAGTGTAAAAAAGAAACACTAATTTTCATTTCAGCATATGTACTGAATTCTACAGAAATCATAGGCCTAAAATCAATACCACTTAATATATTTTTTTCATAAAAGGAGAAAACAGTTTCTAGGAAATGAAAATTATTTATACTGTTGCAAATGACATTCAATCACAAAGAATCATAGAATATCCTGAGGTGGAAGGCATCCACAATGATCATCGAGTCCAGCTGCTGGCCCTACACAGGACAACCCCAAAAGTCCCATTTTCCCCTCAAAACGGAAAAAGGCATCTTGAATGACAAATGGTACACTTTTAATTAATGACTCACAATACTCATAAAAACTGCTGTAGCAGTGGAAAGTTCATCAAGAATTTGCAAGTGCCAACTGATGGCTGATTTACAAATAAAATACTGAAGTCGTCAAGCAAATTGTTCTAAAGAAACCATCAACCCTAATTGTGATGATGCAGTAGGAAATGGGCTACAAAAAAGCTGAGCCACAGAGGTTTGTTAAATTTTCTGCCCCATTAACTCTCAGTGAGTTTGTCTCTTGGATGATATCTTGACTCTGCTGAAGGCCTGATTATGCTGCCATAACTTAAATGTGGTCAGATACAGAAAACGCTCATTACAAATTCAATGCCTGATCCAAAAGGCTTTGGATTGGATCTTTACAGTATACTTACAGTTCAAGGCATCAGAGTTCTAAAAGGCAGAAAAAGTGCAACTTACCATTCAGATTTTCATTTTCTTGTCTGTTTCCAATAGTGGTGTCTCTAGGGTGATGCACTTTTTCCTTTAAAAAGTGTTAAAAAACAAACATAAAACCAGCAGCAGGAAACAGGAATGGAAGTTTACTGTAAAAATAATGAGTGACTACAAAAAGCTGAATTCTTTAGCATTCTGAACACCAAGCTTCTCTCTCCAGGAAAATAATTTTAAAAGACTGAAAAATGTCTATGATGATAATTTTAACATTTATACTTAACTCTTGTGGGATTTTCCCCCCCATCAGTAAGTTACATTGATTCTGGCATTAGATTACTGAGAGTTTGGGGTCTGGTGTTTTTTTTTTTTTTTTTGTTCTGGATAAGCAATTTTCCCTCAAAAATCCAAGTGAAGACAGACAACTGCAGTGACAACATGAAGTAAATTCACCATGTTCATAGAGGGGCAACAACAAAAGACTTTTCTGTAGAACAAAACCAAAGAAAAGGAACAGAACCAAAGAAAAGTCACACATGCATAGCAGGGCATAAAACACCACTACAAAGTAGCTTTTTCTCTGGAGCAGTAAAAACATGCCAAGTAAATCCTTCTTGAAATACAGACATCTTATAGTTCACTAAGAAAAAAAAAAAAAAGACTTATACCTTAGTGCTGCCATAATGGCACAGATTAGATATCATCTTCCTCCACAACAAATTCTCCTGACTGATAGGGCAATATCCACAATTCACTTGTGTGCTTGGCTGCAGATGGATTTGGAAAGGGGCATCCACCACACTCTTGCACCACTGCCGAACAGCTAGTGCCATGCTCCTGGTGCCAATCCCAGGAACCAGGCTGCTAAACTCTTCTAGGCCCTTGCACTTTTGCTGTTAAGTTCCACTGTGATGACTAAGCTCAGACTATTTCTTCAGTAGATGCAAACACAAAGAGCATTTAATCTCTCCTTATTGGCAGCATCTGACAGCTCTCCCACTCTGCAAACTAGCAGACGAGCTTTGGTTTTCCTCTTTCTACTAAATGACTGAAAGGATAACAAAAAAATATTATTCTTAATGCATGACTTCATATAAAATGAGGGCATAACCTCTTCCTCCATGTGTCTTTTTAGAAGTAATTAACAAACCTCCTCTCCATAGCCTGCAGCTTTGATGTAGTTCTTTCAGTGACTCAGTGTGTGGGCTTTTGTAAATCCTGTTTTTGTGCACCTCAATTTACTCCATACATTGAATACAAAGGAGTTCTGAATTCCACTAAGTATAATCAAGATTTTCAGTTATGCATAAGCCTGGTTTAAGTTGGTATATATTAACTATAATAAATGTATGCTTGATATAGTTATGTTTTTGTTAGTTGACACTGTTCAATAGCACATTCAGCTCATTTGGTGACATTAGGTTTGTGGTTTCTTGCAGGATACAGAGACCTAAGCATCACCTAGCAGTTTCAAACAGAAGTCTTAGAAGATCAACATATTTAACTCGGGATTTTAACCAAAGCCAATCAGCACCTTAAGTCAGGCACAGTAAATTCAGAAAGTCTTTCAACTAATTAAAAAACAGTGAAAATGGGTATCTAGTAAATTCAGAACCATAAACAACAACCTCCTTGGAAGCTGACTGGCAGATAAACCATGACACTTATTTCTAACCTCATATGTAGGAGCCAAAACACAAGACTTTGTTTCTAGAACTTCCAATCAAGATTCCTGTCAAGAAACACATTTCAGATTCATACTTGTTGAGTGGACTGTAGTCTCTCTTTTTCCTTCTGCCACCGTTTAAATCTGTCCAGGGCTTCATCCACAGAAGTTGCCCCCTTTTTCACCTGTTCCTGCAAGTGGATGAGTTCTTCCTGTTCAGCAGGCATGTTGTGTTTCATGATGCTGTAAGTTGCTCTGTCAGTGTGGCCTCTGTGTGCTACAACAAAATGTAGAAAGAGAGAAATAAGAAATGCAACAAATCAGTGAGGATTCTGCCATTACTCTTTGGCAGTAGAGTAGCATCTTAAACACTTTGCTCATTACTACTGCCCTGGTCCATGGATTCTCCATTAGTGTTGGTTCATGCAAGAATTTCCTTCTAGCCCTACATTCCCCTCTATCTCTACAGCTAGGGTACTGACATTTTAAAGGAAATTGTTGCTATGTTAAGACATAAAAAATATCCACAGTGCCTTTTTTCTCATTCCCTCTCCAACTTCACTGCAGTTCCCCAGTGCAGTAATAAATTAGTGATTGCATGCTGCTCTATGTGATTTAATCCTGACCTGCTATTTGATAACTGAAGCAGGAGGAAATATCTTCACTCAGTGTTCATTCATTTTGTACACAACACTGTTTATTATTTTAGGGTACCCTAATAGAATTTACAGTAGTAACATTTTGAAGTGCTGCAACTCAAATAACAACTGGACTGTCGTAAGTAATTAATTTTACATGGATCTTGGGTTACCCAGGAGAGAACTGTTGCTCCCCACACTGCCATCTTTCCATGGCTGGCATTAGTGCACAGCTGAGCCCTCTTGTCATTCCTTTTCTTGGTTTTAATCACAATGATGAAAGGAGACAGAAAAATGTGAAGTAACTCTGACTGTACAAATCTTTCCTACAAGACCATAACTTTTATTCTTCTTTCTTTAATCTGATCTCTTAATGCTGCAATACCATTAAGGACATAAATCACAGGTGGCAAAACAGATGCTAAATTAGCCAAAATCAAGTCACAGCAAATCTCTGCTAGTTCTACTGAAAAATATCAAGGCAGTTAAAGAGCTAAATTAAATTCTGTACCGGGCTTCTCGGCAGCGCAGTATGTCCTGTTGTTGTCACTGGTCACTCGAGTGGCCTTTTGCTGGAACACTGCAAAAAAATGAAGAATATAACGAAGTTGAAAAATGGCAATTTTTTTCACATTCTGAACAAAGGAAGTAGACTCATAAAAGCAAGCTGGAATAAATTTTTTGTTCTAGCCTAGAGTACTTTTCAACCCACTTGTCAGTCTAATGTTAATTACTTGAAAAATTGTTCTGGTGCACAGAATGGCAGGATTACTGATATCACAGATACCACGACAAAAAGCTTTGAAGAAAATAAAATTGACTTATCACCTTAACATGTTACTTATTTAGAAGAAATAGCTTCACATGGTACAGCCACTTACTGTAGCCTGTTTCTTAATTTGTGAGGAAAGCTAAGGCAGAAATGAACCAAGCAGTAACAGGTGAGAATAACAATACTGCTAAAGAAAGACTATGTGTATATTTTGGTCTATTTTATTCAAGCACTAGAAACAGCAAAGCACGATCACTCCATTAGCACAGCCCTGTGAACTGCCCAGAGTACAGACAGCCTGGATACGAACTGAAATGTTACCATCAAATTTTTGCTGGAAGCAAGTACAGTAAAACCCAGAAGGTGGGAATTGCTCGGTTTCTGACTTAGCTGCTGCCACACAAGCTTTCTCTCTTAAGTCTCAGTTCTGATTTTAGCTAAACCAACTGACAATCTAGAATAATTCCTTCCAATTAAGTAATCCTCTGTCATCACTGCAATGCAGCAAATGTACCAGTTCAATGGAGCAAATATTTGCTTGGGGACCAAGACCCAGTACAAGGGAGCTCTGCTCAAGCAGCATAACAGGCACACTCTGTGTGGTAGCCTGGAGTCCTGGCTTCTTGCTCCTGCTGACCAGGGAAAGCCAGTGGAGCTTGGTTTGCACCTTGTCTGCCTGCCCAGGGCTGCCTTGTACGATGCATCTGCTTCTCTCCTGGAAACTTGTAAAATGGATCATCATCAAGACCACTGTGACACCTAAACTCAGCACAGGCTGCATGCAGAGGTGAGGAAGGAGCAATTCATAAGGGGTTATTTTCTACACTGCAGAACAAAGTTTTTATGCCACCTCCTGAGTAGGCTTGCATGGAAGGTGATGATGAATGAAAACAGCTAGGGACTTGATGTTCATTAAAAAAGTCCTCAGCCTGAACGCAGAGAGAAAACACAGGTAGCATAAGCTGATGACGTTAAATCCCTAGCTCAGTCTAACACTGATAGATTTTAACTTTTGTAATACTTTGCAGTCATTCTCAAAGCATCCTGCTAAATATGGTTGCAGTGTTTTCTTCTATACTTGAAATAGTATTCCCCTTTAAAAGATGAAATTAAAGTAATGAGAACACAGACGTAATGCAGGCAGCCTGAATTTTACTGCATAAGGAGAAGGGACATACTCAACAGTGTGCCTGATTAGAAAGCACTTTAATTGATAGACTTTGAAATTTCTGCTGAGTTTTGCAGTGTTGGAGTAATCAGAAATGGAATTACTTCTCCAGTGAAAAGCAAAACTATTAAAACCACTTTACGTGCTGCATCTTGTTGGAATGATTTTAGCTGGCAGCAAGCATTCGGTGTGGATGAGGTCAATGAAAACAGACGCCTGTTTCTGGAATGCCTGGAAAGACAGGCACACTCCACTGTACAACTGCCATAGGTTTAGAGAAGGCTCCAGCAATTCAGCCTTTCATTCCCACATTCTTATGAACTACTTGTATACAAAAGTGACATAAAAGAAACAGGTCATCTTGCACAGGAACCATCATCTTCCACTATTTTTTTATGGAAGATAAAGTAAATATCCCTTCAGTAAAACAGCATTAATAAAGAAATTTTTTAAAGTGCCAAAATTCCACAATCCTTCGTTTATATAGATATAATTTTTTTTCCTGTGCCTCTCTGCCATAGATAATCTGATTAAAAGGGTATAGTACTTCTATTATAATTTTATACTTAATGTGCACCCTTCAATTACATCTGTATGATCGGAGAGAGAGTGCTTTTTGATTTTTAATCATGTTGCCACTGGCTGAAGTACCCATAGATGCTTGTAGGTCAAAATCTACAAATTATATGTCCTGACCCCATATATGCTATATAATTTTTGTCTACAATGTGTCTCTCCTTCTCTTGCAGTTTCTCAGAATTAAGGGAGGCTGAGAGAACTAATAAGTAATTCCATTTATTCCCTCCCCTCTCTTCAGCTGCTACAGGATACAGATGAAGTTCTTTGCAAGCCCTAAATACATTTTTATGCCTTAGGCAGAAAGATCGCTCTTTAGGAATGTAATGTAACCTCAATGTTCCTCCAGCAAAGCAAACTCAGAAAGCATGAAACTACTGCAGTATTTTCTAGCAGGACTTTAAACCAGAAAACAACATTTAAAAAGTGGGACAAAACACAAATTTTGTGGCAAGTATGCAGAACTCCGGGAAAATCCCCAACATAAGGCTTGGAAAGTGAGTGGGATCCATGGAACTCTGAATTGCCTTTTTCATCTCAATCAGACTAGCTGCAGATGTTGTTTCAGGCTGCCTGCACATGCAGGTAAATAATGCTACAATCTTGAAACGTGGTTAATATTTTCATGGTTATCACCACAAAGAGAAGGGTTAGAAATAGTTGAAATCTAAGTCTCTTGTGTATAATTCTGTACTAAGAACAGTGTTTTATAGTGCAAGAAACTGTGCAGGGTGTAAAGGGTCTAGAGAGAGAGAAAGAAATTTTTTACAATAGTTGCAGTTTGACAGAAAGAACAGGAATTTGATTTTCAAAATTAGCAGAGGTTCTAACACAAATTTGTAATGGTAAGGAATCACAGACACACTACAACATTTCAAAAATTGCTTAGTGATGTAATTAGGAACACAGGCAATCAAAACGTGGAAGGAGTTAGATCATGGGAGAGGAGAACTCATATCAGTCAGGAGGCAATGATGGTTTCTAATTTATATTTTACTTTACCCATCTAAACTATGAGGGATATTGCCTAATGTGCTGTATTGGCAGTATTACCTCTAAAAATCAAACAACAGTTTGCCATTATGCACTACTGATTCAAACAAAGCTCGACTGATGAACCTACCCTCTGGAAGAATATGTGAGCTAATCATACCTAATACTTATATATTTAGTCCACACTTTCAGTAGCACAAACACAAGGGAGAAAAGACACAGTGAAAAAGGAAAAAACCAATCAATAAATATCACTCTTTTGAGTTCAGCTTGCTTAGGAAATTTGAGATGTATTTATTTATCAGCTTCACTGAGTTAATGTTCCAAACAAAATTATCTATCACCATGACTGTTTTATTTAGTAAACTTTCAAAACGAAAATACAGGGGAAAAAAGTCTTTATATGAACACAAGACTAAGTGATAATTCAAATTAATTAATACACTAGGGTAACACTTATTAACACATATCAACTCAGATGCAAATTACAATGAATTTGTAAGTTTCCTCCTTGTTCTTAGTAGGTTTTTGCTTCATTTATTTTAGAATTGTCATGCAATTAATTAATGATTAATGGAAGAATAAAGAAGAAGAAGAAGAAGGGGTGGATTGCTAGTTGGGACATGTTGCACAGAGAGACTGCTATCTTTGCCCGTTCCATTTTTTCCCCATTATTTAAAAATTTTAACATCTAAGCTGTGCATGCATAGTACCTAGGCAAATAAAAATTGCAAGTTCTTTTTTTTCTAGTAGGGATTAGATTGTAAATTAGATGTAGCACAGTAAGGGATGACAAATACACAGAGAATACTAAGGAAGGAATACAGTAGAATGATGCTTATTATTCAGGAGATGAGAACTCTGCAGATATTTGTTCCCATCTTTTTAGATTTCATTTTCCTTTTGTCTGTTTTGTTTGCTAACACACTGAATCTCACTCAGCATGAGGACTAGAGAGAGGCCATCAATGTAATGCCAACCAGTACGTTTTGTAAGAGATGACTAATGACCCCTCCTAAAACTTATACAGAATATTTCACATATTCCAGATTAAACCAAAAAATTCTAGTGACTCACAACATGAAATCAACTGAGGAAATGGGGCCCTGTAAACAGAATTTTTTCAAGAGAAGGCAGCTGAGCACAGAACAAAAGTGCATCAGTATGCCTCATGACTGTGGTCTAATTATTGTGGAGAAGGGATGGCTGTACAGTGCAAGGTAACAAAGGCTCAAGTTCCAGAAGCTGTCCTGTCATAGCAGCATAGGTGTCTGAATGCACTTACACCATGACATGGCAAAGGGAAAAAGTCTGTTTTAAGTGCACAAGAAAATGAGTGACCGCATCTGAACTGGTACAGAAACTCTGATCTGGTCTAAATGTGCAGCCTGACACTCAAGACATTTTTGATAACACACAACAGTCATTTCATCAGAATAAAGACTATGTAAGGTCAAATGGACTTGCAGAAATCTCATACTGCCATGTTGCTGTTACTTGCAGTGGGCCAATCCATGCTGCCTGAGTTTTTCAGCGGCAGCATCACATCCACTCATCACAACTTACACAGGCTATTGTCAGGCTCTACCTTGCACAGCTACTTAGTTGGCTGAGAATGAAAAATCCCATTTTCTCAAACCAAAAGCAGACTGGTTTTAAAAAGAATTATAGTCTAATGAAAATGTGAAAATATAAGTCCAGAAATAAGCTTATGTTTGCCAGCAATCCTCTTCCCAATTTTGCAGAGCGTAAAAGCTCACCTCAGTTAGAATCTCAGAAAGTTTGGTCACAGAGGGACCTCAGGAGGTCCTGAGGTCATTAGAGACCTCATTACACAGAGATGACTCCCCTACACTGGGGCAAGATAATAATACCAGAACCCCTTTTTACAGAAGGGGTAAAGAATGAGCGAGAAGAATAGGTAATGGTGGTTAGTTCAAGATGCTGTTCAGAGATGTCAATGTACTTGCTGTACCACACACAATGAAAAGAACTTTCACACCTTTGCTCTTTTCGGAAATTTAACTTAATGGATCATGGAAGTTGGAAGGACTTCAGCGATACACTCAAG